GTAATATGTATGGCAAAGTGTTACTTATGTGTCTGACGCAGGGGTTCCGAGTTGATTGAGCAGCTGCAGATGGAGCGGATAAAAGAACAAAAGGATCAGGAACACTGCGTTCTTAACAAGATCAGACTGGAGATGGATCAAATCAATGCAACCCAACAGAAGACTCAGGGACCCATGTTTAAGGAACCTGAGAGTCAACATGTTGTAGGTGAGTCCACTTGGATTAATATTTTATAGTATTACAGCAGTTATAATCATACACAGTAAGTTTTTATTGTAGAAATAAAGCCACTTGCTATTTTATAAATGTTGTTTGAAAAGAAAATAACAATTTTTAAATTGAAGGCAGTAAACGTATAAATTGAAGATTTCCAGCTCAGTCCTAAACTTATTAATATTTTTTCCCTTCAGGTCTCCTATTCAAATGTTCATGTGTTAAAAACAATTTATTCTGTGTGAGAGAAACTACTGCTGACAAGAAGTGCAAAACTATTTCAGAACCTAAAGTCCTTCTAAATAATATGTACTATTCTTTTCTATTAACGCTTTTAGTCAATTCAAAAACTGCTATCATCTCTTTTTCTATCCAAAACAGTGAAGATCAGGATATATGAACCAATAATTTTGCCGGTTGTCTTGGATGGTTGTGAAACATGGTCTCTTACCTTAAAGGAAGAACGTAGATTACAAGTGTTTGAAGGATATTTGGACCTGGGAGGGATGAAAAAAGTGGGGAATTTAGAATATTGCATGACCTGGAGCTGCGTGAATTTTATGGGTCACCCAACGTAGTGAGGATAGTGAAATCTAGGAGACTCCGATGGGCTGGACTGTAGCACGCATGGGGGGGCAATGGGTGCATATAGGATTATAGTAGGGAATCCTGGAAAATGACCATGTGGCAGATCAAGAAGGAGGTGGGAGACAACATCAAGATGGATCTTAGGGAGGTGGGCTGTGAGAATGACAAATGGATGGAGTTGGCTCAGGATCGTGGCCAATGGCAGGCTTTGTTGTTGTCAGTGTTGAACCTGCGGGTTCTGCCACCAGGGAGTTAGATTAGTTCTTTTCTATATAATAATGCTGTTGTATATGTATAGTATTATAATATTGGTATATCAAAATAATTGCTAGTTGCAGCATAAGAAATTTAATTAAGCCTTGTATGTGAATACTGTTTTGTAACTCGGACTTTCACCGATGCTATCCCCGTCTGATAATTGGGTTGTTTTTAAAGGAAACGGTGACACTTTGACACTGTCACCCCACAATCATTTGAAAATAAGCATCAGCTAAAGGCTGGGAGTGAGGCAAGTGTCAGACAGAGGACAGACTCACAAAAACTAAAACCTTCTAGAACAATCCTATCGGTACAGAGTACAAAGTTCACATATTGTACCCGGGATACGCCCTTGCTGACCAATATATACACCAGCAAGAGC